ACATCAGGCTGAGGTGTACCAAGGACCAACAGTGTCCTTTACTGAAGTCGACCTTGAGATGGTCCAACATCCTCACAATGATGCCTTGGTAGTATCCTTCAAGGTCGGGGAGTGCCAAGTGAAGCGCATCCTAATCGACCAAGGCAGCTCTTGTGACATCATGTATGTTAGGTGTTACAAGGAGCTTGGCCTTCACCTAGACGATTTGGAGCAATCCAATGGCCCAATGGCCGGGTTCAATGGAACGCCGATGTGGCCACTGGGAACAACGAGCTTGGAGGTGTAGGCTGGCACAAGGAAGATATAGACAAAGTTCACCATAATCGACACACCCTCCCCTTATAATGCAATTCTGGGGAGGCCATGGCTGCACGCAATGAGGGTTGTTCCCTCAACATTGCACCAACTACTACGGTTCCCAACAGAGCATGGGATAGAAGAAGTCAGAAGAGATCAGCTGCAGGAAAAGAATTGCTCCAAGGCAGCAATGAAATCTACCTGCAGCATACGAGAACCAGAGAAGGCAGAAATCGAAGACGAGGACATGAAAGTCCTAGAAGATGTCGGCAATGAGCCAGCCGAGAAGAGTGAAGAAGCACTGAAGAAAATCCTCGTCCATGAGGGAGATGAAGAACACTTCTTCCTTCTCGGCTCGGGCTTAGCCGAAGAAGAGGAAAAAGAGTTTGAGGCTTTCCTGAGAGCAAACATTGAAGTGTTTTGCCTGGACGCCTTACGAAATGCCTGGCATTGACCCCGAGGTCACTTGTCATAAACTGAACGTTGACAGGTCGGCCAAACCTGTAATCCAACGAGCAAGAAGACCGACGTTGATGCACGTCGAGGCAGTGGAAGAAGAAATAGACAGACTTCTGGAGGCCAAGGCCATTCGAGAGGTAAACTACCCGACATGGCTATCGAACACAGTAGTGGTGAAGAAAAAGAATGAAAAATGAAGGGTCTGCGTTGACTTTACCAGCCTAAACAAGGCCTGTCCCAAAGATAGTTTTCCTTTACCCAAGATTGACCAGCTGGTGGATGCCACTTCAAGGCATGGAAGGATGAGCTTCTTGGATGCCTATAGGGGGTACCACCAGATAGCCATGTACCCCCCAGATGAAGAGAAGACCGCGTTTATCACCCCAGAAGGCCTGTATTGCTACAGACTGATGCCCTTTGGGTTGAAAAACGCATGAGCAACTTACCAAAGATTGGTAACCAAGATGTTCAGACACCTGATTAGCTGAACAGTGGAAGTTTACATCGACGACATGGTCGTGAAGACCAAAGAGCCTGAGGGTCATCTGGCCGACCTAAAAGCAGTCTTTGAAATCCTTAAAACATATCGGCTCCGACTCAATGCATCGAAGTGTGCATTTGGAGTTGGATCTGGTAAGTTCTTGGGATACCTGGTGACCAGAAGGGGCATTGAGGCCAGCCCAGATCAGATCAAGGCCATCCTGGAATTGAAGAGCACGACGTCGGCAAAACAGGTACAAAAGCTGACTGGAAGGGCCGTAGCCCTGAATAGGTTCATAAGTAGAAGCTCAGAAAAGTGCAAACCTTTCTTCAACTTAGTGAAGAAAGCCACAGACTTCTTATGGACCGAGGAGTGCGAAGTCGCCTTGGCTGACCTAAAGAAGTATCTGACCACAGCTCCAGTTCTTTCAAATCTAGAACCTGGAGAGGAGCTGTTCCTGTACTTGGTAGTTTTAGAACATGCGGTAAGTGCAGTGGTAATCCGAGAAGAAAAATGGGAACAAAGGGCTGTTTACTATGTAAGCAAAACCCTGGCTGATGCAGAGAGTATGTATTTACCCCTAGAGAAGTTGGCGCTGGCCTTAGTAATGGCTTCAAAGAAGCTGAACCATTACTTTCAAGCCCATAAAATTGTGGTGTTAACAGAACACCCATTGAAGTCCCCGTTGTAGCAGGGAGACCTGACAGGTAGAATAGCCAGATGGACAGTGGCCTTAGGCCAGTATGACCTAGAATACAGACCCAGAATAGCAATCAAAGACCAAGTTTTGGCCGACTTCGTGGCCGAGTTCACACCTGAATCCATCATACATCGGGCTCCGTTGAGCTGACGTGAACGATGTCCAAACCAACAAAGAGGAGCCCAGCTGAAGGCAACGGAACAAAGGAAGGAAGAAAAACTCAAACCCTGCAGCATTTACATCGGCGACTCCTTCTGACTGTTTGTTGATGGGAGTTCAAACTGACAAGGAGCGGGGCAGGAATAGTTTTGGTATCTCCAGATGGACAGATATTGAAACAATCCATTCGTTTGGGGTTTAAGGCCTCAAACAATAAAGTAGAGTATGAAGCATTGATTGCAGGACTGAAGCTGGCAGTAGCAGCAGAAGCAGATGAGGTAATAGTCTTCTGTGATTCGCAGCTCATAGTTAACCAGATAACGGACGAGTTTGCAACCTGAGATGAAAGGATGTCATCCTATACAAAGGAAATCAACAGATTGGTAGCCTTGTTTCAGAATTGCCGACTATACTAGGTAAGCCGAGATAATAATAGTCACGCCGATGCACTGGCCAACCTGGGCTAGTGCAATACAACTCGGAAAAGCAAGGACAATTATAGTTGACTACTTGTTAGGCTCCAGCATCGAGCCACTGACCATAGAGCGTGAAGCAATGTGTGTGGATATGGAACCAAGCTGGATGGATGCAATTGTAGCAATCTTGAAGGAAGAGAAGCTGCCAGATGACCACAAAGAGGCACACAAGATCAGATTAAAGTCGGCAAGATTCAGCCTGACAACAGAAGGACATCTCTATAGAAGATCCTTCACTGGACCTCTTTTAAGGTGTGTACACCCTTCACAAGTCGAAGATTTTTTATATGAAATACATGAAGGAATTTGTGGATGCCACGCTGGGGGCAGATCACTAGCTCATAGGGCCATCACCCAGGGGTATTGGTGGCCCTACATACAGAAAGACGCAGAGGCCTATGTCAAAAAGTATGAAAAGTGCCAAAGGTTTGCACATTTGATACACCAACCAGCCGCAGACCTGAACCCAGTATCCAGTCCTTGGCCGTTTGCCCAATGGAGAATGGATCTTGTTGGACAATTGCCCCAAGCAACTGGGCAAAGAAAGTACCTGCTGGTGGCAACAGATTACTTCACCAAGTGGATAAAAGCCGAAGCCCTTGTCAAGATCCGAGATGTAGATGTGAAGAACTTCATATGGAAGAACATCATCACCCGGTTTGGGATTCCAAGAGCAATAGTTGTAGACAATAGAACACAATTTGACAGTAAGCTAATCAAGAGCTTCTGTGCAAAGTTCAAAATCAAGAATTACTTTTCCACTCCAAGTTTTCCTCAGAGCAATGGACAAGCAGAGGCATCCAACAAAGTCATCTTGGATGGGATTAAGAACAGGTTACAAGCAACAAAAGGAAAATGGGTGGATAAACTGCCAAGTGTACTCTGGGCATATCGGACTACGTCGAGAAGATCAACTGGGGAATCCCCATTTTCCATGGCTTATGGCACAGAAGCAGTCATTCCGCTGGAAGTCGACATCCCTGGGATCAGAACCCAAGGAGTAGAGAATGGGACCAATGATGTATTATTAGCCCGAGATCTGGATCTATTAGAAGAAAGAAGGGAGAAAGCTGCAATTCAGCTAGCAGCATACCAGCAGCAGCTTGCCAGGGCTTATAATAAGAAGGTTAACCCAAGGGAGTTCCAAGTCGGCGACCTGGTCTTGAGAAAAGTCATCGACAACAAAAAGGATCCCAGAGAGGGTAAGCTTGGCCCAAATTGAGAGGGACCCTATAGAATCACTTCGGTATTGGGCAATGGGGCATATCGGCTTGAAGATAATGAAGGCAAAGAGTTACCAAGACCTTGGAATACTTGCAATTTGAAATTTTTCTATCATTGGACTTTTTTGTTCTTTGATTATTTGCCGAAGTAAATAAATAAAGTTTTAGCTTGACTTCTTACAATTATACGATACTTGCCGATGTTCCTGGAATGCATGAGTAATGAGAACCCAAGTTGAACTTAAGTTCACATTATGGGGCAAAGAGTTGGAAAATGGTTCCTAGAAAGATAGAATATACAAGCTAAAATTAGTCTAACACTTGTTGAAATTTGTGAAAAATTTACAAGTTGAAGTTAGGCCAAGATCATGTTTAACACTTGTTGAAATTTGTGAAAAATTTACAAGTTGAAGTTAAACTGAGGTTATGTCTAATACTTGTTGAAATTTGTAAAAAATTTACAAGTTGAAGTTAGGCCGAGATCATGTTTAACACTTGTTGAAATTTGTGAAAAAATTACAAGTTGAAGTTAAACTGAGGTTATGTCTAATACTTGTTAAAATTTGTGAAAAATTTACAAGTTGAAGTTAGGCCGAGATCATGTTTACCACTTGTTGAAATTTGTGAAAAATTTACAAATTAAAGTTAAACTGAGGTTATGTCCAACATTTGTTGAAATTTGTGAAAAATTTACAAATTACGGCCAAGGTTGTGGTGAACTGAGTACTTATGTACTTGCCGATGTAAACCATTGATGAGTATAGCCGAGGTATATCACCCAGAGAAAAACTACACAGTTCAGGTGTACATTGAAGATATGCAAAATATTCTAAGTATGGAATCATACAAGGGCAATAAAGGGAAGACAAATATGCAAGCAAAACAAAGAAGTTGTATTTATAAAAAGGCACATCGGCCATATGAAGAGCTTACATTGTTTCTAAGGAAAACCAAAGTGCAAAGCACAGATGCAAACAAAAAAATCCAAACTAAGACTCTTCTGCGTCTTGAGGAGGTTGGGTCAGGAATTCAGAAGACTACTGTGAAGACATCTCGGCGGCCTTCTCAGCCGCGAGCCCGGCATCTATCTCTTGAAGGGTTTGATCGAGGCTCTTGTCGGCATGAGGCACGTCGGATGATGCCTTCTCGGGAGTAACCTCCTTGGAAACCTCCTCACCCTCCTCATCTTGAGTCAAGTCCAGGACTTGCTCATTCTGAGTAGGGGACTTGGTCTCAATGGCCTCCTTTGACTTCCTCACCAAAGCCTCCTCCTCAGACTCAGAATCGTCGTCGGATTGGCTCGGAGTTGGAGAGAATGGCAGGGGAAGGACGTCGGTGTTCCTGAGGGGGAAGTCCTCGGGAATTTCAAGTTTTTTCAGAAGAGCCATCCAACCAAGGGTAAAACCCTTGTTGCATGCCTGCTTAACCTGTTTTTCATAGTCGGCCATGACATCGCCCACCCCCTCAGAGTATGCCTTTTCATCTGTGGCTTTTATTTCAGCCTCTTTCATGGCCAAGGCGTCTTGTAATTCTTTCTGGGCCTGGGCCATCTTTTCCTCGGCCACTTTCTTTTCGGCCTCAAGAACCTTCTTAATGGCCTCCGCAGAATCTGCCTTCTCCTCGGCATCATCTTTGGCTTTAACAGTAGCCTCGGCTTGGTCTGCCAAAGTCTTCATTTTTTACTGTAAGCTTTTATTGGTCTTCTACAGACTGGAGACCTCCCTCCTCTTGTCGATCAGCTTCTTCCAGTTCTCAAAGGCCTGCATTGAGAAGGAATGAGCATGCTAGATGGCCTGAAAGTGAACAGAGCAGAAGTTATTAAAAAAATTTCTAAGTACAAAAACTAAAGAAAGATACCAAGTGTAAAGACTTACTTGAACAGAACGCTGGAGCATCAAGGCGAAGTTCTCATGCTCAGCCATCTCGGCGTTGCGGTCGAGATCTCCAAGGAGGAGCAAGGCTCTAGAATGGGCAACGCCGACGTTTATGTCGTCGGCACCGTCCTCAACATAGACTGGCCTATTCTCCAAGGTGATGGGTGGAGCCCAGGGGGCACCAGCCTGCATGGAGCCTGACGCTGTGGCAGACTTTGACCTCGGCCTCTTAGACCGAGTTGATTAAGATGGTTCGACCTCGGCAGACCTCTTCTCAGGGATGGAGGTGGTTTTCTCACTCGAAGCCAATTTCGAAATTGGCAACGTATCCTCAGTGTCAATCTGAGTTACCGTTGCCTTTGGCTGAGCCTTTTTTATCCTTTTTTGCTTTGGCTTTGGAGGCTGAGTGGGTGCTGATTGAGCGTCTACGGTGGATGGAATGTTGGCCAAGAGATCTTTAGCAACTGCTTTCTGGCGGCCCATCTCAGCAGCAAAAATGGTTCGTCGCTGGCATTGGCGTTGGGATATCGGGATCAGATATGGAGCCGAAGTTGACGGTTGCTCTGTTGGGTCAAAAGTTGATCCTTGATCTGGCTGAGATGTGGAGGCAGCTTGAGGAGTTGTGGCGGAAAGAGAAGACAAACTCTTCTTCTTTTTCTTCTTTGGAACGTCGGGAAGAACCGACTTGTAAGTGGGAATAAAATTAAGTACCAAAGGGGCTCTCCGCTTGAGGACTGGCAGATCCAATAGTTTCCTCAAGTCTTTGTTGGGAAAGAAAAATTGGCGGAAGCCTTTTGGTGGCTGAGGAAGAGCTATAAGGAAAACAGACATTAGAACAAATAAAGTATTGAAGACTTTAAAAATGAATAAGTGCAAACACTGGGCTCTTACCATTACCCTCTACAAAGACTGATCGAGGAAGAGGGTAGGGGTGGAGGTCCTCGTTTGGAGTGAGCTCCCAGTTTCCCGAGGTAATGAGATATTCATTCCCAGCTCCCTTGTTGGAGTCAGGGAGGTCGGCAATAATTTTGTACTCTGTGGACCTCGGCTTAAGGTAGTAAACGTAGCCCGTATCTTCTTAAGGCCACACATGGTGCAGCAGTACTGAATATCGGCTTAGGTAACCCTAGCGTTTTCTTGTTTGGCTAAGGCTATTATGCCATTGATGACTCAGTAGGAGTTCATGGCAAGCTGTATCGGGTTCAACTTATAATAATGAAGTATCTCACGGAAAAGGATATTTCATGGGAGCCGAAGTCCGCTCTCAATAAAAGCTACGACAGGGAAGGGCATAGAATCAGTCGTGGGCATGATGGAGTCATCCTCTCCAACCAACCTCAGATAGATGTCGGCAGGGATGGAAAACTCTTGCCTAAAGTATTCTAGCTTGGTCGGGGTGTCTACCCTATGCCTCCACATACCCATGATGTCGGCTTAAATGAAAGATGTGAGACTTCGGAAGGGAATGTTTTGTGATGATTTTGAATGACCTCGGCTAAAACAAAAAGGGGAATACGTTTCAATTTTTCCTAAAAATTCGAGGGTTTCACAAACAAATCTCAAACCTAGATCTATGGAAACGATGATTGAAGGCACGAATCTGGAAAAATCACAGAAAATAGAAAAGAAAGAATGTGTTTCAGAATCAAGAACAGTGATGAACTATCAAGAACACTATTAGTGCAAGGGTATAAGGCCAAGAACGGTGGCAAAAGTGCAAGAAGATTGTGAGCAGTGTGCATATTCAAGACATGGGCAAAGGCAAAGTCATGCAATAAACACACTCAGATATATGATTCATCAATTGAATACTTGAGCAAAACAGCAATGGCAATAAATAATGAAGTGAAACTTTTTGAAGAGCAACAAGAAATAAAACCAGGAAGAACAGTGGCTTACTAGAAAAAGTGAAGTCGGTGTAACGATCGCCGAAGTTAGGCGACGGTTACAGAAACGACAGAGCAATGAAAAACTCGCCGGAAGAGGTAAGCGAAGCAAGTTGCGGAGCTAGAGAAGCTTGAACAATTGAGGATTTGGAAGAAAAAGCTAGAGAGAGAGAGAAGCCTCAGAAACGATGGAGAAAAGTGAAAAGACGGAGGAAGGAGGGAAGTTTTGTCAAAAAACGCAAAAAGCGGCCGAACAGAATTAATAAGCCTAGAATGACGGATTTGTCAAACGGCGCATACAGGCGCGAGACGACTGGCAAGCGCGTACGGAGTACGATCCCGTAAAGGGAAGACGCGTGGCCAAAACGGTTGAGTTTTTATGTATGACAGCTCATACGTATGAAGGACCTCTTGGAATCCTTGGTCTTTAAGAAGCATGCCGGCCTTAATATGATTCTCGGCTGAGAGATTTTAGCCGCCGCTACTGGAATCAATACTGATATAGGTTCCATCACCTCAGGATGCCGAGGTAATAAAACCTAGGGGGCAGTTGTGGGGATATATTTTCTGAGTACCAACACGTGGCCAAGATGATGTCGACATGTCAACCGAGGTGCCACGTGTCCAGGTCACGACGCCAAGGTGATCTCGGCTAGGCCGAGGTTATCTCCGAAGATATCAGAATCTGAGATAAGCGGGTAAGGGACAAGAGTCTTAGAATGGGAGAAGACTTCAGTTTGGATAAAGATAAGACTCTTAGAGAGTTTATCCCAATCCTACTGGGAGTCCAAGATTAGCAGTAATCCTAAGTCCATTGAAGCTAGGCTTCTATTGGGATTAGGTAAGTGATGGCTATAAAAGAGAGGCACCCCCATGGGTCTAAGGTACGCAATTTATATTCTGAATAGTGAGTTAAGCACTTGATTTATCATTGAGAGATAAACTGACTTGATCATCGGAGTGCCCCCGGGTGGACGAACCACCGCCGGAATCTTCTCTTTCTGTTGCAGGTCAATCAGGCGCCATCTATTTTGCCAGTGCTCTCCAACTGAATACTAAGTTGGCAGTGTGGTCGGAAATTGACACACACATAATCTTAACAAAAACGGTTAGCTATACCAAGATAATACTTTGAGTTTTAAAGTTCAAGAAACAAAATGCAAATAGATCATAGTTTCAGGAGTTTTATTGTAAATTACCCTTACTTTTTATTAATAAATAAAAATGGAATAAATTACCTTGACTTTTCTTTATATTTGAAAAAAAAAACAATTATTTTAATTTTAATATAATTACATTGATATTCTTTTTAGTAATATTAAAGACTAAAAATAATACATATGATATGAAAACACAATATGAAAAATGTTTCTCAAAAAACTCTCATAATTTGACCTACAATGATGTATTATGTAACACCTCAACCCTTCACATATCATCGATATTGTCTGCCTGCACAAATTTGTTCTTCCCAGTGGGTCACCCATCCCAAAACTACCCCAACCTAAGCACGCTTAACTAAGGAGTTCTGCTAAGGACTTCACCACCCGAGAAAATGCCTCGATGCTATATAATGGTCTAGGTTTTTACTTTTGTAGCCAGGGAACTCCCCCTCCATTCCCAATGTGGGACACATGTCATTGATATTGTCCACTTTGGGCCACGCAAACACAGATTTGTTCTTTCTAGTGGGTCACCCATCCCAGAACTACTCCAATCTAAGCCCGTTTAATTGGGGAGTTTTGCTAGGGATCTTGCCGCCCGGAAAAAGGTCTCGATGCTATATAAGGGTCCAAATTTTTACTTTCATAGCCTATGAACTCCCTCTCCATTCCCTATGTGGGACATCAGGACCTTATAATCCATCCCTTTTAGGGCTGCACGTTCCCGTGCAGTAGCCTGCCAGCTCACAAGCCCGCCCATATACAACAAGAGACGCCGAGGGCCCACACTCAATACTCCAGAGAGTCGGCTCTAATACTATTTGTAATGTCCCAACCCTTTATATGTCATCAATATTGTCTGCTATGGGCTACGCCTGCACGAATTTGTTTTTCCCAGTAGGTCAACCATCCCAAAACTATTCCATCTTAAGCACGCTTAACTAGGAAGTTCTGCTAGGGATTTCACCACCTAGGGAAAGGCCTCGATGCTATATAAGAGTCCAGATTTTTACTTTTATAGCCAAGGAACTCCCCCTCCATTCCCGATGTGGGACACATGTCATCGATATTGTCCGCTTTGGACCACGCTTGTATGGATTTGTTCTTCCCAATGGGTCACCCATCTCAGAACTACTCGAGCCTAAGCACGCTTAACTGGGGAGTTCTGCTAGGGATCTCATTACCCTGGACCCTTATATAGCATCGATGCCTTTTCCCGAGTGGTGAGATCCCTAGTAGAACTCCCCAACTAAGCGTACTTAGGCTGGAGTAGTTCTGGAATGAGTGACCCACTGGGAAGAACAAATCCGTGCGGGCGTGACCCAAAGCGTACAATATCGATGACATGTGTCCCACATCGGGAATGAAGGGGGAGTTCCTAAGCTATAAAAGTAAAAACTTAGACCTTTATATAATATTGAGGCATTTTCCTGGGTGGTGAAATCCCTGGCCGGACTCCCTAATTAAGCTTATTTAGGCTGGAGTAGTTCTGGGATGGGTGACCCACTGGAAAGAATAAATCCGTACGGGCGTAGCCCAAAGCAGACAATATCGATGATATGTGTCCCATATCAAGAATGGAGAGGGAGTTCCTGTGCTATAAAAGTAAAAACCTGGACCCTTATATAGCATCGAGGCCTTTTCCCAGGTGGTGAAATCCCTAGCAGTACTCCCTAGTTAAGTGTGCTTAGGCTGGAGTAGTTCTGTGATGGATGACCCACTAGGAAGAACAAATCTGTGCTGGCGTAGCCTAAGGCGGACAATATCAATGACATGTGAAGGGTTGAGGCGTTACAAATGGTATCAGAGCCGACTCTTTGGAGTACTGAGTGTGGGCCCCTAGCGTCTCCCGGTGTATGTGAGCGGGCTTGTGAGCTGACAGGCTACTGCACATGGATGTGTAGCCCTAATGAGGGTGGATTGTAAGGTCCCGGTGTCCCATATTGGGAATGGAAGAGGAGTTCCTAGGCTATAAAAGTAAAACCTAGACCCTTATATAGCATTGAAGCTTTTTCCCGGGTAGTGAGATCTCTAGCAGAACTCCCCAGTTAAGCGTACTTAGGCTGGAGTAGTTCTAGGATGGGTGACCCATTGAGAAGAACAAATCCATGCGGGCGTGGCTCAAAGCGGACAATATCGATGACATGTATCCCACATTGGGAATGGAGAGGGAGTTCCTGAGCTATAAAAGTAAAAGCCTAGACCCTTATATAGTATCGAGGCTTTTTTCTGGGTGGTGAAATCTCTAACAGAACTCCCCAGTTAATCGTGCTTAGGCTAGAGTAGTTCTGGGATGGGTGACCTACTGGGAAGAGCAAATTTGTACGGGTGTAGCTCAAAGCGGACAATAAAAATGATATGTGAAGAGTTGAGGTATTACATGCTAACTTTTAATTTGTTTCACACTCAATGATGGGGTGTTTGCTAAGTTACTTTTTTAACCTTTTTTTTTTTTTTTATGTGGTTAAAATAGTCAATAAAGATAAAATAAACTAAAATAACAAATAAACTAAAATGTCACATTCAAACCAGAGTCATGTTATTTTTTCTCTCACAACCATCAAATCAATTATCAAAAAAAATTAACCAATTTTCCAAATACAACTTTTTTAACCAGACTAAAATAATTTTAAAAAATAGCCAACTTTCCAAACGAGCCCGATATAGGGCCCAACTCTCTTGTGATATCATAACGAATGAATTTTTGAATTTAAAAGTGCAAATCTCTAGCAATTCTCCAAAAAAAAAAAAAAAAAAGAAGATAAAATATATATTTTAACATAAAAAAGAGTATATTATTTTTATACATACAACTAATGAATTTTTGATAAAAATAAGTAATTTTATATAAATTAAAACTTTAAGCAAGCTATGTATAATTATGTTCTACTTGTGGGACATATTGTATTTATTTTAAATCTCAAGTGAGGTTAGAGAGTCTCTAACGTTTCATCTTTTCTTTTATTAAATTAAAATTTGATAAAAAGAGTAGACTTTTGGTGCTCCAACGTTTACATCAAACTAATATTAAATTTAGGATATCTTAAATTTTTTATCAAATTGAGAATAGATGGTGTTTTTCATCAATTTATTGGACATAGCCATTAGTTTTACAAGTATGCATGAGTACTAGACGACCGGCCAGATGTCCAACTAGTTGTCTCCCGGTTGACCACCTCTTTATAATATTTGTTTCAGAATTTTAAAAAATTTACACTGGTCGGTCGACCAGCCGGACATGCTCAGGTCGTCCTTCGGTCTACCAGTTGTTTGATGAAATCCTAGATTATTCCATTGAAACGCGTGATATCAGATAAAATTTTTAATCAAATTTGATATTAAAAAAAAAGAGCAAACATTTAGAGAATGCTCTTAATGTAAGTTATCCATAGAAATATAACAATATGGATTTTTCATTGGAGGAATTACCTGTAGGTGAGAGATAAAAAAAAAAAAAAAAAAATTATAAATACTTTGATATACAAGTGTGTCTATAGTGATATACAAATAAAAGACCGTGAAGGTACAAGTGATATTGTATCCCTATATATTAGTATTTTTTTTTTCTATTTTTTTCATTTTACTCGTTTGGGAAAAAAAAAACAGAGAGCTTTTAAACATGGGGGGTGAGAATGAAATTAACTAAACATATGAGTCGGGTCCCACAAAAATTTAACCAAAAACAGTTCTTCTCCCGTCCGCTAGCTTTGTCGTCGCTCTCGGTCTTTCTCTTTCCACCCCCTTGTTCTTTAGCCCTTGTCCATACATTGTTGCTATCCTGCGCTAGCTTTGTCGTTTCTCTCTCTCTTTCTCTCTTTCTCTCTCTCCTGTGTCTTTGCCAGAGATTTTACACAGGTAATCTTGGAGAGAGAGAGAGAGAGATATGATTTGAAGATTGGGTTTTGTTGTTTGATGCTGTTAGAGGAGTGATCTGAGAGAGAGAGAGAGAGCCAATTTTTGAGCTTGCTTGGTTGGTGCTTGGCAATGTGATGTCAAACTCAGAGATCTGTGTTGGGTTTTAGAGTTGTGGTTGATTTTTTTTTTCTTCTTCAAGGGCCAGTCTCATGGCTGGAAGTAATGAAGTTAACCTTAATGAGTCCAAGGTATCCAATTTCTTATCGATCAGAATGGCTATTATTCAATTTGACTCTCTAATCTTCCACTGTGTCTATGTCTATGTGCATATATATACCTGGCGTTTTAATTGATTGTGATTAGTGGTTACTATAAATATGTTGGTGTGTGTTGATTGATGCTTATGTTTTTAACTTTTTTGGTTCTTTGAATTGGGTTTTAGTCTTGTTGCTTTGTACTATCTTGAACTAGTTTTTTATTTGAGTTTGTGTATTTTTCCATCTGTTCTGACTAATATGAAGATTGTACAAGGATTTGTTGATGTGTTTGTTTCATCTTTTGCTTGTATAAACTTTGGATGGTGGTTTTCAGATTTTGTTCTTGAGGAGTTATATTTCTTCTGATTTTAGTTTGTCTTTCGGTACTTCTATTATGATTTTTCTTTTTTGGTGCTAAACGTTTATTATGATTTCAAGCTTTTGAGATTATATTTCTTCTGATTTTAGTTTGTCTTTCGGTACTTCTATTATGATTTTTCTTTTTTGGTGCTAAACGTTTATTATGATTTCAAGCTTTTGAGATGGTTGGTGGTACCCAGTTCTCCTGGATCATTCTAATTGCTTGTGCAGCTATACAGGTTTCCCCATATTTATAGGGTCTGTAGGATTTCTCTGTGAATCTGTTGGCTCTTTTTTTTAGGTTGACTCTGTTAGCATGCTATTATTGTAAAATTTGCATAGACAATTGCCTTTTAATTTGGTTATTAGGTACCAGATATAGATGTAGTACTAGTTACCGCCAGTATTTGACTTTTCTGGACTTTAAATTTGAAGTAGAGTCTGAAATTTCACTTTTGTGTTATATATAGATGGTTGTTCCATTGAATACATGGGTCCTCATCTCCAATTTCAAGCTGAAATACACTCTTCTTCGTCGCCCGGATGGCACTTTCAATCGCCATTTGGCAGAGTACCTTGACCGGAAAGTGACTGCCAATGTGAATCCTGTTGATGGGGTCTTCTCTTTTGATGTTCTTATTGACCGTGAAACTAGCCTCCTTCTCAGAGTTTATCGGCAAGCTGAAATTGAAGGTCTGCCTAGTATCGTCGAACTGGAAAAGCCCTTGAGCTCTGATATTGTTCCGGTCATAATTTTCTTCCATGGTGGAAGCTTTGTGCACTCCTCTTCAGATAGTGCCATTTACGACACTCTTTGTCGCCGCCTAGTGGGCATTTGTAAGGCTGTTGTGGTATCAGTGAATTATCGACGAGCACCTGAAAACCGTTACCCTTGTGCCTATGATGATGGCTGGGCTGCTGTTAAGTGGGTTAGTTCAAAGCCATGGCTTCAAAGTCGAAAAGATTCAAAAGTTCATATTTACTTGGCTGGAGATAGTTCTGGTGGTAATATTGTTCACAATGTTGCTGTAAGATCCATAGAATCAGGCATTGAAGTAATGGGGAATATACTTCTCAACCCATTGTTTAGTGGGCAGAAAAGAACTGAATCGGAGAAACGATTAGATGGAAAATATTTTGTCAAAATTCAAGATCGCGACTGGTACTGGAGAGCATTTCTTCCTGAAGGAGAAGACAGGGACCATCCAGCATGTAATCCATTTGGTCCCAATGGTATAAGCCTTGAAGGCATCAAGTTCCCCAAGAGTCTTGTTGTGGTGGCTGGTTTAGATCTTATTCAGGACTGGCAATTGGGTTATGCCGAGGGGCTAAAGAGGAACGGCCAAGACGTGAAGCTTCTATATTTGGAACAAGCAACTGTTGGGTTCTACTTGTTACCCAACAATGAACACTTCTACACTGTTATGGATGAGATACGTAATTTTGTTAATCCTGAATTGTCAATAAACGTTACTTACTGACAGGGTAGCAATACTTAAGAAGCTTGACATGTCGGCACGTGGGCTATCTTCATCGGAAGGGCTTTGTTTGCTGTAAGATTAATTAGTACTACTGCTTAACTCTGTAGTTGGTTGTGTTATTGTTATTGTGCTCCAGTGGGTCTGGTTCATCTTCGGTGAGAGATGGCTGGGCTGGGTTTGGTTGTTTGTTGAAGAAGGCAAGCGGTTCAGCATGTAGCTGGCTGGATTGGGAGGCTCTGTTTCTTTTGCCACTCCGGTTTTTGGAACTTGAGTAATATGGTGTTATGTAAGTAGTTATATAGGCCGGCAAAGCCATCTAACTAAGTTTAGCAGATCCACCAATTCAAAATTACCCACCCTTTCTGAGTGTTGGTGACGGAAGATAGCAAAACAAAAGTGTGGGGGAAATGTTTGGTGGCTGATCAATCTGAGGTCGGTGCTAGCTAACGTTATATAACTAATTATATGAGATGGATGGGAAAACATCCATTGTGTTATATATTTGTATGCTGTTTATAGATATATGTTCCAGAATTATATATAAAGTTGTTTGTTTATCTACTATGGTTGGTGGTTCTTTTTTCTTGTTCTTCTTTGATTTGCTTCTTGCTTGTTTTCATTTACTGTTTTGGAAACCCGATATTGTTTAACATTTTTTCCGTTTACACTGCATTTGGTGCAAGTTGAGCATGTTTAAACTAGTCTCAGGCTCTAAGATTATATTCCATTATGGGTAGCAACTTTGGAGGGGTTTGAAATCAGGTGGTGGCTCAAGCAATTTCAGCTCTGTAAATGTTCTCTTATGAAATGAAGTTGTCTTGGATCTACTCCTCAAGTTGTTATTTTCTTTGGTTTTTAATTCCTGGACTTATTACCAAATCAATGTTATAGTACCTGAAACTTAGGGCTTGTTTGGTTGTTTGTGTTTTTTTATATTTGTTATTCATTTTTCGTGTTTCAGACACCAAAATAATGACTAGTTCAAAAACACCCACTGTTTTTATTTTTATTTTTATTTTGTGGAAACAGGTTTTGAAATTTTGATAACAAGTGTTTGTTGTTTCTTAAAAAATGTGTTATTTATAAAAAAAGAAAAAAAAAAGACGGAAAAAAAAAAAGAGGAATAATCCTTGTGCTAAAAGCATATATTGCCCTGAATACCATTACCATTTGAATAGTAAAGTTGCTCACATTGCCTGATTTGGGTTAGTGACCCCAAAACAGTTTGGGCAAGACTTTGTCAATAGTTCACGGATTCAGTGGCCACCAACAAACAAATTCTGTGGACACAATACCTTACTTTCTGGAGAAAGCTAAGAAAGGCATTAATATTGGTTCCATGCATGAAATCCAATTCCATACCCCCAAATAAGCCTACTCATCACAGTCCACGCTACATGGAGTATCGATGCATTGCTGCGATGAATGATTGGAAGACATTTTAAATCGTACATGTTTGCCATTTTTCAAGGTTGATTTGATTCATTCTTGTCAGTTGCTGATGCCTCTTTGTGAATGAGTAGATAGTAGTTTTGGAACTTTGGGATGGAAGCATACAAAAATTGACTTGTTTTGGAAGAAAGCAAGGCCAACCCCATTTGTAGCAGTGATTGAAGTTTTGGATGTTACTGAAGGGTTAGGGGACCACAACCACCAGAGAGCGAGAGAGAGAGAGAGAGGGAAGAAGAATATTAATTGAAATTGGAAGGACACAGCTCAGCTCTGTCTGAGTACATGCAAGCTTGTTTTTGTTCAATTCATTGTCCAGGTTGGTCCCACTTTGGACACACTACTGTTCAGAATTTCAACACATAGCTTGATATATATACATATATATATATATATATATATATATTTGTTTTTCTTTTCTGTGAATAAGTTTACAGACAATGATGGATTTAGGAGGTGCGAAAGGGGGGACCGCATCCCTAATAATTTGAAATAATTAAAAATTATAAGAATTTACACTTAAAATATACATTTACATTTTTATAGTGATAATTTTGAGTCCGTTCCTATTTAGAAACAAGATTGGAAGTTGTCATCAAATGAGTGTTGTTCAATCATGGACAATGAGTAAGACAGAAACTGAACTTGGCTGAATCAGCAAGTTTGGTGGTTGTGGGCTCGGGCTTGGGCTTGGGCTTGGGCTTGGGCTCTCGCTAAAAAAATTGTGATTTTTCTTTTTGTAGTATGGGTTTCTCACTTTGGTTTGTAGTATGGGTTTCTCACTTGATATGGTTATGTAGCAAGTTAACAACTATGAATTTGACTTCAAGGGCTCATTATATTAGTATAGAACCAACAGATGGAAGGAAATTCCTCCTCTTAGGGAAAAAAATATTAAGTAAAACGGTTACACTATCTTATATGATGTTACTGACTATTAAAAAGTCGCAAATGCATAAGGTAGTCAACTCGTGTCTCCCACTAATCCAACAATATTATAATTTCTATCGCAAATCAATAATGCTCATTAGATGGTGATATTGTCATGTGATATCACTGTTACATTCAATAATTACTCCATCTCAAGATAATTTTTACTTGAGTACATCAATAAATAATTATTGTATCTACTCTAAGGAGGGTGAAAAAGTAGATAGTATAATCTCTCATTGAGCGAAATTTCACTGTGTATTTTATTTGATTCTAAACAGAGAAAAATGAATTACACCTTCTCTACAAACAAGATGAAGACAATGGGGACTTTTTGACAAATGACACCTGAGACATTCAAAATATAAAACGTTACCAGTACCAACGAAAGATGCTTGCGAGGTCTATGTACTTCATAGAAATGATGTTGTTGTGAATGATTTCAAAAAAAAAAAAAAAAAGGGCAAAATTATTTTAAAAAATGAGGCCTGCATTTCTTATGTCTCAATGCATGAAAAATTGATTTCAAAAAATTTTATGCATGAAAAAATATTAAATTTTGGTTTTACCACTAAAATTATGCCGAGAGACTTTTACTCAAATTTTTACAATGCAGCTGGTACAGTTTTATTGTACGATACTGATTATAGAGTTAACATCCAAAATTTTGTGATTAGCAGTGTTACGAGAGTTGTGAGTACAATACTAACCAAGATTGCTCTATTGTCTAACCTACATCACTATTTAAGGTTTCATTTGGCATGTTGGTTGGGTTAATTTAGCCAACAAAATCAAATACATATCTCTCCCTCTAAAATTTATACCCAAACAAATACTCATCTCTCCCTCTCTAGAATTTAAAATATACATATTAACTGATATATATAATACATATATGATACATATTTGATATATAATATATAGAACACATAAATGATACATATGAAAGAATTGATGTGTAGTTTCAATTATACATATATGATATATATACATACATATTAACTGATATATATAATACATATATGATACATATTTGATATATAATATATAGAACACATAAATGATACATATGAAAGAATTGATGTGTAGTTTCAATTATACATATATGATATATATACATACATATTAACTGATATATATAATACATATATGATACATATTTGATATATAATATATAGAACACATAAATGATACATATGAAAGAATTGATGTGTAGTTTCAATTATACATATATGATATATATACATACATATTAACTGATATATATAATACATATATGATACATATTTGATATATAATATATAGAACACATAAATGATACATATGAAAGAATTGATGTGTAGTTTCAATTATACATATATGATATATATACATACATATTAACTGATATATATAATACATATATGATACATATTTGATATATAATATATAGAACACATAAATGATACATATGAAAGAATTGATGTGTAGTTTCAATTATACATATATGATATATATACATACATATTAACTGATATATATAATACATATATGATACATATTTGATATATAATATATAGAACACATAAATGATACATATGAAAGAATTGATGTGTAGTTTCAATTATACATATATGATATATATACATACATATTAACTGATATATATAATACATATATGATACATATTTGATATATAATATATAGAACACATAAATGATACATATGAAAGAATTGATGTGTAGTTTCAATTATACATATATGATATATATACATACATATTAACTGATATATATAATACATATATGATACATATTTGATATATAATATATAGAACACATAAATGATACATATGAAAGAATTGATGTGTAGTTTCAATTATACATATATGATATATATACATACATATTAACTGATATATATAATACATATTTCAACAGTTATCTTTTATCAGGAAAAGTGATCTTGTATTACTTCGTATCTCTCTCTATCACCATTTACAAAATGTTATAGATAAAGCAATAGAAGAGGGTGGATGATAAAAAAGAAAGAAATAGATTTTGAGATTTTTTTTTTAAAATGTGTGAAGTTACTTTTTGGACAACTTTCGGTATGTCAAACCCACCAATATCAGGAAGAAGTGAAAAAACGAGGTAACGTAGGATGAAGTATAAAGCAAGGTGAAGAGATTGGTGAAACAACGGGATAAAATTGTTAAGAATCGAGAAAATTATGGAGTCCGAAAGATAGGCCGAAGAAATGTTGGAAACGGGAAGAAAAAGTGGGTTTGGTTGGTATGAATCCCATCGATGCTATTTCAAAAATCTAAATGTTTGCGCATCAATTGTTTGATTTCATGGGTTGGGTTTGTTACTAATTTGAATTATAAAAAGAAAAGTGGGTTTGGATAATTTTTAGAGAGAGAAGTTGCGGTGGTGATTAGTGGTGGTTTTGCATGGAATAAGAAGTTGGTTGTGGATAATTTTTAGAGAGAGAAGTTGTTGTGGTGATTTTGAGTGGTGGTTTTGCATGGAATAAGAAATTGGTTGTGGTTTTGCATGGAATGTAATGGTGCTGATTTTGGTTGGTTGTGATTTTGCATGGAAGGTGATGGTGGTGAGATGAGAGGAGAAATAAAAGGTGATCGTGATGGTTTTGCATGGAAGGTAATGATGTTGCATATGTGTGACGGTCCAAGAGTGTAACCCATGCTCTGTTGCACTACACCATTCTATGTATATATGGCAATATGGGTGTTTTGGTCATTTGTTATATGTTTTTGAGCGGAAAAAACTGCTCCACTCATCATTCATGGTTGTGCAACATACATTCTGTTTAAACAAACAGTTTCGTCAAAAATTGCACTTTAGTATGAAGTATAGGGGGTTTAAGTATTACAAATGAAACTATATGGAGGCTCTGTATTTTTTAGGCAAACCACAAAGGATTAAATTATAATTTACCCAAAAATTTTGTACATCATTCTCTCATGTCGAGACCATGGAACAAATCCACATAGTGCCTCCATCTAATATTTATTAATTAAGGAGTTGTTTGAGATGAACTATATAGGTGCACTTTTTTATTTTTTTACTAAAAAAGTAGAGAAAAAAAAGAAGTATGTTTGGGATAATTTTTTGATTTTTTACGGAAAAAATATGTATTAAAATATTATATCAACTAGTTAAATTACCGAAGTACCCTTCTGAGCACTAACA